TACCGAACGCACGGCACCTCCGAGTTCAGCACACGTTCAGCTCGATGACGTCCCACGAACTTCGATCCAGCAGAGCTTCACGGGAGAATTCTGTCAGCACGACGGCGTGTTGACGGTGATGATGTTGCTACCGACACAGGGCTTCGCCTAAGCACCGCTACGATATGATCGAGGTGGATTATGGTGGAGGGGGGCACCGCATATGGCTAAGGGATCAATGATCAACTTGTGTGTCTAGAGGTGTCCCTCTGCCCCCGTATATAAAGGAGCAAGAGGGGGAGGCCGACCGGCCCTCTATGGCGCGCCAGGAGGAGGAGTCTCCTCCTAGTAGGAGTAGGACTAGTAGGAGTAGGACTCCCCTCTTTCCTACTCCTACTAGGAGGGGGAAAGGAAGGGGAGAGGGAGAAGGAAAGGGGGGCGCCCCCCCTCTCCTAGTCCAATTCGGACCAGAGGGGGAGGGGCGCGCGACCTGCCCTAGGCCAGCCCTCTCTCTCTCCACTAAGGCCCATAAGGCCCATTATTTATCCGGGGGGGGGGGGTCCGGTAACCCTCCGTCACTCCGGTTTTCTCCGAAATCACCCGGAACACTTCTGGTGTCCGAATATAGTCGTCCAATATATCGATCTTTATGTCTCGATCATTTCGAGACTCCTCGTCATGTCCGTGATCATATCCAGGACTTCGAACTACCTTCGGTACATCAAAACTTAAAAACTCATAATACCGATAGTCACCGAACTTTAAGCGTGCGGACCCTACAGGTTTAAGAACTATGTAGACATGACCGAGACACGTCTTCGGTCAATAACCAATAGCGGAACCTGGATGTTCATATTGGCTCCCACATATTCTACGAAGATCTTTATCGGTCAAATCGCATAACAACATATGTTGTTCCCTTTGTCATCGGTATGTTACTTGCCCAAGATTCGATCGTCGGTATCTGCATATGTCGCAACTGTATCTTTTTTTTTGAAAAGGAGAATGACCCCCGGCCTTTGCATTTGGGAGATGCGTGCGGTTATTTTATTAATTATTCTCGAAGACCTTACAAAGTAGAACGACAATATGCCTGAATCCGCCATCTTGGCAACATCTGCCGCTACTCCTATCCAAATGATGAAGGGGTGCAAGCTGGGCCACATACCCAGACCTCTCACCTAAGCCTAACATCTAAAGTCAGAGGCCCCGACTGAGCCATCTGCCAGGTCCGGGGCTCAAACCGGTCCGACGCACTCACATGTGTCATCGCCGCCATCTTTCGCTGGTCCATCTTCAAAGCAGATTGAGGTGACAACCTTGGCAGCTCCTCTGCCATTGACGCCACCACGAC